ATGTTTCGATAGTTGGAGTAAAATGGGGTTTTTAAGAATAAAACTGATAAAGAAAACAATATTGTTAGAAACAAAGCTAGGCTAGTCGTAAAGGGTTATTCTCAACAAGAAGGTATTGATTATGAGAAAACGTTTTCCCCTGTCACAAGACTTGAGGTGGTACAAATTTTTCTGGCTTATGTAGCTCACAAGGATTTCGACGTCTACCAACTGGACGTAAAGTGTGCATTCATTAATGGTGTTCTGGAAGAAATGGGTATATGTCGAAAAATCACCAGGTTTCGTTAATGATAAGTATCCTGATCACTGTTATATCCTAGACAAGCCAATTCATGGGTTGAAATAACCACCACGTGCATGGTATGCAACTCTTACCAATTTTTTGAAAAACGCTAAATTTACACAAGGATCAGTTGATCCTACTTTATTTCGTAAGAAAGTAGGGGATTATCTGATGCTTGTTTAAATTAATGCCGATGACATTATCTTTGGTTCGACTTATCCTTCATTATCTAAGGAATTTGAGGAGTTTCTGAAAATTAAATTCGAAATGAGCATGATGGGTAAGATAAATCACTTTTTTGGTTTAGATATTCGTCAAAACAGGGAAGGAATTTTTATCAATCAATAGAATTACACTCGAAACTTGATTGAAAGATTTGGGACGACGAACTACACAAAAGTCAAAGTACCTATGGCTATTGGCACGCGCTTAAGTCCTTCGTTGGATAAACCTGTTATCGATCTCAATACATATAGAAGCATGATTGGTTCGCTTTTGTATTTAACTATGAGTCGACTTGATATTATGTTCTCTGTATGTAATTTTTCTAGGTATCACTCGAACCCAAGAGAACCCCATCTGACTGCAGTGAAGAATATCTTACGGTACCTCTAGGGTACAAAGACGTTAGGATTGTGGTATCCATCGAAGACAAGATTATTTATCCAAGCATTTTCTGTTGTCAATTGGATCGAAAGAGCACAAGTAGAGAATGTCAATTCCTGGATGGTAAACTTGTGAGATGGCAATTGAAAAAGCAGACATGCGTTTCCATTTCGACAACTGAGGCTGAATATATTGTTGCTGCTGTGTGTACATCTCAAGTGATCTGGATACAAAGCCAATTATGTGACTATGCGATCAACATGAAGAAAATTCATTTATATTGTGATTCACAAAACGCAATTCTCATTTGTCATAATCTAGCCCAACATTAAAAAACAAAGCATATTGCTCTTCATGATCACTTTATCAAAGACCACGTTGAACATGGGAACATTGAAGTCCATTTAGTCAAAACAACTTCTCAGCTTGCTGATATTTTTCACAATACCTTTAGATGAAAAATCACTTTTAAGGATTTTGAATGGATTGGGAATGATGGAAGCATGTTCTGTTTCACATTCTACATAAATTTTCTTGAATTTGACATGAACATGAGTTTTACCTTAATTTCGATTGTTTGCGTTACTTTCGATTAGTGGGTATAACTTTCGAGTGTTTTCCTAACTTTGATTTCTTGTTTCTTTTATATTCAGAGGTTACTGTTCATGTTAACCGTTCGACTGCCTTCGTATTCGACTTCTTTCTGAATCATTCAGTAAAAGGTCATAATTCGAGATATGATGGAAGACTTTCAACGCAACACTCATCTTTGGAGAATGACAGATTCTGGAAAGTCATGTTGGGAACGAAAAGGTCTTTGTAACGTTTTTAGTTACTTTATTTCGGTTTTTGTTTTTTCAAAAATGAAAAATCCAAAAAGATTTTCTTATTTTTGTTTTTGCTTTATAAAATACAAAAATCCAAAATGATTTTCTTATTTTTGTTTTTGCTTTATAAAATACAAAAATCCAAAAAGATTTTCTTGTTTTTCTTTTTGCTTTATAAAATACAAAAATACAAAAAGATTTTTTTTAAAATTTTTGTCTTTTCTTTGTTAAAAACAAAAATCCAAAAATATTTTTGTTATGTTTGAATTTTTTTTTGGAATCTCGTTGTAACAATGTGTTGCACTTTCGCATGCCACATGAACACATTCAAAGAGAACAAGTATGACTCAAAATTTTATACTAGTTAAGCGTCCCTAAAAGCATGCTCCAGCATGTTGTCCTCAAGCCTCGAAGACTCTTTCTGTTTGAAGCCTTAATGAAACTCTCGATACGAAATATTCTTCCCAATCAGGCTATAATCACATTAGTCGATCAGCTACATGTCTCTTCTCTTTACTCAAATATTTCTAAACCATACTTTTTCTTGACTACAATGGTCATCTAATTATTTTTACAAAATGATCCACACTTATGTTAAGTTATGAATTTGTGTGAAATTGAAGCCACCTTCGAACTTAAGGCAAAAAAGGCCCTTCGATACTCATCAATGAGTTTTCGATTGTAATTCACAGGAAACCACACAAGCAATTCGTCATAACTCTTGATGTCGAATGAAGCGATTTTTGCCCAAGATCAAGTTGCTTTCACATCAAAGGATCTTTGATATCACAATAACCAAACTTTTCTTAATTTGATTCTATCTATTTGTTTGGCACACTTAAGCACTGCAATCCTCGAGGATATGAGTAATACCAACTCTATTTTAGATTTTGCAAATTTTGGCATATAATTTCGCTTATTAATCCCATAAGTGAATGAGTCTTGCCTCCATGCCTAAGGCTTGTTCTCTCTTGGTAACTAAACTTTTGAAGTTCTCACTTGGTAACTAAACTTTTTAAGTTCTCACTTGGTAATGAAGCTTGTGACGTTTCTTATTTGGTTGGGAGAAGCGAAAGATCCATTGGACGTGATGGTTTAGGATTTTCATGGGATTAGGAGAAAAGTGGTCATCACTTTTACACGTGGTAGTTTTTTGTGGTGACGGTTAAATAACCAATATTCCACGTGGAATTTTTTTCTTGGGCAACGGTTTGAATTCAAAATTCACGCCAGTTATATAAGGAAATCATTCCTTCCAATTCCAAGTTTATGCTCTCTGAAAATTCTCAAGAACCCTAACTGCTCATAGCTGATTTTCTCTCCAAAATTCTCCCTGATTTTTTGAAATGGCTGCTTATCAACACAATACCGATCCAGTTACAAAAAATGAAGATGAAATTTCGCAACCAATGATGAAGATTCAGCACACTAATCTTCTTCTCATTCCTTCTCTCGATGTGTATCCGGATGTACTACAGATGCTTGTTCAAACCTTTTACAACTCTGTTCTGTCATTTTCTCTGTCTACAACATTTTCTATTATAATGGAATGGTTATCTCTTGCTGCTTCAACGACAATATACAATAAGACGACTAAAGTTGTTATGTTTCAAATATCATCTTCCAAAACGAAAAAACTTACTCGGAAGTAGTTTTCACAGATTTTGTAGTTACCGTCTTCAGGTAAGTTTTATGAAGTTTCGACTGATCAGGTTATCCACATGTTTAATGAGATAGGGGCATCAAGCCACTCTTACGACTATCAGTCATTTTAAGAAGTCGAGTCTACCATGTGTATGAAGTTTTATGTTTGGGATTTTCTTAAGGTGTTTGACAGGGAGGAGTTCTCGACTTAATAAGGATAAGCTAGAGGTTTAATCCGATGTAGATGGTCTGTATTACGGTCTCAATGTTTATTATGCGTCCTTATTATGGGAGGAATTTGGAACTTCGATTTCTCATACCAAACTAGCTACTGGGGTGTCGAGTGCTAGGCTTTGGTGGTTGATTCTGAAGGAGATATATAGTCAGGAGAATATTATTGTTCTATCTGATGTCGATACTGTTGAGTTCCCATCTATGACAATTCCTAAGGTATTTGTGGATGATACTACCATATTTCCAATAGTTGCTCGAATCCCTGATTCGATGCTCAGGTTGGTGGATCTTAAAAATCCATTGTTGGTGAAGTATTTGGTTTCGATTGATTCTACTACTCAGACTGCTACTCTACCACCAAAAGTTTCTCAGAAATGGATGAAGGACCATCGAAAGGGTCTAAAGCTCAAAAGAAGAAGAAGAAGGTTGAGAAGCAAACAGATGTACAGGAGGAATTGGTTAAAGAAACCATTCCTACAAAAACAGGAAAATATGTTCTCAAAAGCACAGAACAGCCTGCAAAGAAGCTATTGGAAGTTGTTCCTGAGAAAGTTGTCATGAAAGTGCAGGACAGTGTTCAACCAACTGTTGAATCTTCTAAATCTAAAAAGGTTTTCAAGAAAATGAGGAGGTTGCAGTACACAAGAAAGGGAGTTGTGCAAAGGTTAAAGAGGGGAAAGCACAATAAAGTTGAGGTTTCATCTGGGAAAGTGATTGTGGAAACTCAAAATGACAGTGAAAGCAACAGATTAGATACTCGAATAGTGGATTCTTTTTAAGTATCACCACGAAAGGATACCCCTATCAAATTGACTTTCGAGGAGACAAGGATTCCTGATGTCAAGAAAATGAGGTTTCGACTCCTGGCTCTCCATCATCGAAAAAGTGTCAAACTTTAGATGTTGTGAAAAGGTTAAAGAAGCGAAAGCACGATAAAGTTGAGGTTTCATCTAGGAAAGTGATTGTGGAAACTCAAAATGATAGTGAAAGTGACGAATCAGATACTCAAATAGTGGATTCTTTTCAAGTATCACCACGAAAGGATACCCCTGTCAAATCAACTTTCGAGGAGACAAGGATTCCTGATGTCACTGCAAACGTATCTGATATGGATGTAAACATCGATTCGGCTGAACTACAAACCACAAGCATTCCTGAGAAGGCGCAATTCAAACCATCCGGTGTTTCGAATACCAAGTCCATTATGGAGGAGGTCGAAACTCCAGAAATCAAAATGCACTTATCTGATAAGGATACAAATGTCAACATGGATGAAGGGATGTAGACAGTAAAAAAAAACAACAACAACAACAACAATCGAAACTTCAACTATTCTTCCACCATCAACATCACAAATTACCTCCTTGATTCCTGTTACAATAGTTTCACCCACCTTTGCTGGGGTTATGCAAGAACCGAGTGCAACACTTTTCTCATCACAATCCACTGAGGCTGAGAAATCACTTAACGAGGAAGAGGTTGATGATGATAATTTCATGGTTTCTTTAGCTGAGCTTAAAATATATGATGAATTAATAATGTCAGGTAAGAAGTTAAAGATTTTAAACTCCAAAATGAATTCGATTCTTCAATTCTTGGTTGACGCTGGAAGTAAGAATTCAGTCAGTGGGGTCGAAGTCGAGTATCTTCTCAAAGATCATGAGTCTCAATTGAAGTCTTTTATTGAATATGTTGATAAGCGAACTGATGATCGAATTATCACTCAATCTCATACTTTCAACCATGAGATTTCAAAGTTGTGTGATGTTTCGAAAGAACGTCATGAACTTTTCGAGAAACAACTTACAGAAATGAAAGTCTTTCTAGAGAATCAGTTGAAGGAAATTTGAACGATGATGGATACCGAGTTAAATAAATTTGATGAGAATTCCTATCTGTTACGTAAGAAGATGGATGTAGTCGCAGATGCAACTGCAAGATTGATCAAAGATATCACAAATTTTAATAAAGAATAATCGAATGATCTTCGAGTCAAGACAGTGAAGGATGAGAAAGTCTTTGTCAATGTTGAGGAGTTCTTGTTTGATATTAAAGTGATGTTATCGAAAATTGATCTTTTGACACAATCATCAATTTCTCAAGAATCAATTTCCAAGATGGTTTTGAATATTGAGTCGAGTATCAAGGCCGAGTTAGATCCAATCCAGAATTTAGTGCTTAGACTCCCAACTAATGCTCCTCGTACAATGAACATTTTTCTAGGGGGGAGATAGAGGAGTTGGTTCGTCAAAAGCTTCTGGTAAAGATATTGGAGCTGTTGTGGGGAAGGTGATGTGTACTGAAATTCGAACAACTATTTCGATGAATCCTATTGTCTCAAATTCGACAACAACATCAACAACCGGAATTTCCACACAAACGAGAGCTCAAACCATTCAAGTTCTATAACCTGATGAAGAAAAGAAGAAGCTACAAGCTATCAAATTGGAGAAACAGAGACAGATAAATATCATTTTAAGGAAAAGAGAAAACGATCCATTAGGCTTGAACAAGGGAGATCCCAACAAGCATTGGTGTTATGAAATGATTGACATAACTGTTATTGGCAAAAATGATGAATTCAGGAAAATGCCAAAGAAGAGTTATGACATAGAGAATTCTGATTTAGTAAGCTCGATTTCCCGATCAATCACAAACTGCTTACTTCTCCATAGTTTAAAATAGCTTATAATTTCAATGACAAAGAAGAATACAAAAGATTGAAGATTCGCTTTCATGCGGTCGTGGGAGATAGTGAGTAAGAGGTTTGGTCCCCTGTGAAGATTGTAAAAGTGATAACGATAGTGCATGACACGTTATTCAAATGACTGCTACAAAATTTTCATTATATTGTCATAAGGACAAATAACGTGGTGTTTAAGTTTAGAGTAGCAAATTTTCCTCTAATGAATTTAAATTATCTCATCATGGTAACGAAGATCCTAAGTAACTTTGACGTGTCGAAAATTATAGAGACAAACAAGGATGCTTTCATTATTGGGTTTGCTCACATCAAGACTTTTCTTGATAGTTATTATGAGTATTTGGTTATCACTGACATTCAAAACTTTTTCTATGTTTTAAGGGGGAGGGGGGGGGGGAGGAATACAAGTAAAACACACGAAATTTTTGTGCTTAAAAATATAAATTGTTTATTTTGTTCTATTATACTTTATAAACACTTTACGCAAAAATGCTAAATAAACGTTATTGCCAAAATTATAAACTTTTAAAGTTGTTAAAATAACGAGGATTTTATTTCATATATAACAGTCAAATAATATGAAGACAAAGATATAAATTTATAATAGGTATAATTTATGGTCAGTTCAAAATGATTATCATCATAGACATGATTAAATAAAAATTATATTTTTATTTAGAGTAAATTACACGAATGGTCCCTATGGTTTAGGGTAATTTGCGTTTGGTCCCTAAGTTATTTTTTTAACTCGGAAGGTCCCTACTGTTTGTTTTTGTTACGAACTTGGTCCCTGTCTTGCCTAAGAAGACTATTTTGCCCTTGATTTTTTAATTTATTTAAATAAACACACCCCCAACCCCAACCCCACCCTCTCACCTCACCTTACCTACCCCACCATTTTTTCTCTATTTAAATAATAGTTTTTTAGGTAACGCAGGGACCAAACGTGTAACAAAAACAAACAGTAGGGACCATCTGAGTTAAAAAAATAAGTTAGGGACCAAACATGCAAATTACCCTAAACCATAGGGACCATTCGTGTAATTTACTCTTTTATTTATTAAAAGGTTTTTCACTGTATTACTCGTGAACTCGTTGTAACAAGATTTGTGAGACATGTCTTCGTATACTTACCTAAGTACCAACAAAAGTCCTGGCTTATGAACCAGAGTCTCCTGGAGGGAGAGCGTGAATTTGTGTATAGATATATACGGGACTGACAATCCCGCGCCCTGACTGTTAGTTACAGTTATTCTGGGTAACAAATGTCATTAACAGTAATGACGTCCAAAGAACGTCGTATCAAGATATCCATCATATTAGTATGGTTATAAGAACTCACATGGAGAAAACAACGACTTATTTATGTAGTAATATTCTTTTCAAACAAGCTTAAGGGGTAGTAACTATATGATTACTTAGCAGATACGTTAGAGTTATATATAACAAGGATCCAATAGACAGTGGAATGTGTGACTTCCGCCTCATTTCGTGTTCCTCGTTTGGTTGTGGGCTTAGGGCAGAATCACCCATTCAACTGTCTGTTCGATCTCGGTTATATACAACTCGTATGTAATAAGTAATCATAGGAGGGTAATAACATCGCATCGAGTTTACAGGGAAAGCACTTCTTCAGCTAGTTTTACTTATAAATAAAAACTAGGTATCATTAAACTAAGTATGGTAATTATACTTGTGCTTTTTGGTCTTGGAACAATTAAGACTACAAATCTGTTTATAGAAAATATAGGATTTTATAGGATAAACATCATTATTTTAAAGGTAAACAGTTTTCGATTTAAATTTCTGAAAACAAATACATTTATTTACGGAAAACAATGTTTTACAATAGAGTAAGTGGAACCAGGAACATGTTTACAAAAGGTTCAACACTTATTTACAACTAGTATCACATAAAGTACCTTTAATTGTTAATTCTATGATTTCCTTAGCTTATACGTCAGGGCTATATATAAATAATATCCGATAGGTAGTGGAATGTGTGATTTCCGCCTTACTTCCTGTTCCTTGTTTGGTTGTGGGCTTAGGGCAGATTCACACATTCATCATATCTAAAAGGCTCATTATTGTTAATTCTATAATTCCTTTGTTTATACACCTGAGTTATATATAAATAATATCCGATAGGCAATCGAATGTGTGGTTTCCGCCTTACTTCATGTTCTTTGTTTGGTTGTGGGCTTAGGGCAGATCTACACATTCAACTGTCCATTCGATATTATTCTATATATAACTAGTATAAACTAAGTAATCATAGATGGAACTAGTATGGGCACATTCTTACAAAGAAAATATAACATTTTCTGAATAAACAGGGAAACTTTTCCAAAGAATAAAGGATATACTTTCTATAACAAAAATACTTATGAACTCACCAATTTTAATGTTGACACTTTTTCAAACCAGTTGTATTCTCAGGAATGTTAGTAGATAGGTACCCTCTCAGGTGTTGTTAAGACGGAGTATAGTAGTCTTACGTCTTATCTTTTGCTATAGTTTTATTGTAAATCATGAGATGTTTTGAACACAATGTAAAATTTATATTATTAATATAATGGTTGTTGTTGCTTTGATTACTATTATACAATTATTGTGATACTGTACATGACGTCCTCCGCCCCCGAACGTTTCCGCCGTTCTGGTTTGGAGGTGTGACACACAAACTCTCATTTTGCAGAATGATAATGAAGAGAAGGTAGAAATTAGAAAGATCATTCTATGGTACATGGAGATTCACAGACACTTTTGTAGAAACTGAAGATGATAGCTTGAAGTTTCGACTATTCTCACTAAGGGGGAGATTCTAGAGTAGAAAGTAGATAGTGAGAATCGAAAGTTGTTTCTTTCAGTTTGGGTCTCTAAGTGTCGAAAGTTGTTCAGTTTCGACATGTTATCTCTTTACAAGTCATTATAGTTTTGATACGTCAAGTATAGCCCTTGTATTTTTTATACATCTATTGTATCCTATAAATAGGGTAAGTACTTAGGATAGAGTATCGGTTCGAACATTCTGACATTACACATTGTACTCTTTCTCTCTTGTACTCTTTAGACGTTGAATTGAGCCAATCAGATCTTATTTAGATCTTTGTGTCCTGTATTATTTTTTCTTTATCAATTGATTCGTTTATCATTTTAAACACACTTCATTCTTATTTATGTTTCTATATTCGACTAAAGATGAAGTGAGAGAGAGAGAAAGATTTTGTGACATAGAAGATCATTTGGTCTCACATTTAGCGGTGATTCTACAATGATCGAGTCTTCTCAATTTGATGTTAGATTGGCCTTACCATATCCCAGTTTACTTTTGGAGTAAACTTTTAGGGTTATGTCCACTTAAATAAGGTTTACAACTGTTTGGGTTATGGCGACTTAATTGGTTGAGGTTTCTTATTAAGGTTTACAATTGTTTGGTTTATAGCTCAAAAGATTTTGTTTTAAGTAGGCAAGTCGCTCATTTGTAGGTCAACAATGGATTCTTCTTGTATATGCATATAAATTTTTTTTGCGTGGTTTGTTTCTTGCTTGGAATGCGCCTCATCATGATGTTCAGACATGCTTGTTTTCTCTTAAAATAGTTGTATGTTCCTAAGTTAATAGCATAGGAACTTTATTATGGATATACATGAAAGAAAAAAAAGATTTCGAGTGTTGTTGATGCTTCTATTGAACACAATGTCCTTAAAACAAATTCTTCCGCTACCAGATGTTTTTTCCTAGGATACAATGACTAGAAACGATTTTTCACGATCACTCGAACCTGTACTGAACTTGGATTTTACCTTGATGGTAACTAGGAAACAAAAGTAGAAGTAGATGAAGCAAGAAGTTTTTGTTGTCTTAGGTGTGTTTGAATCTATTACCAAGTTGTACTTATACAAAAAAAACGATATTCGCAAAAAGGACCTTGAAATTTTTTATCGACCGGTGGTGCATTCATACCTGCGTGCTGATACACAAGTTCAGTGAGTCCCAACCCAATTTGGTTTGTATCTACACCCCCGTGTGTGTGTGCGCACACACAAGAAAGAGAATTTGTGCTACAAGTCTTACAAGGATTATGATCCTTTCTACTTACAGACAAACAAACATACACATACATACATACACACCACACACTCT